CAGGGAACCACATTAAGACGCTTCGTCTTTGTACAGCTGACACGGGGAAAGAAGAGGAGATTTAGGACAAGTGTCAAGATCACATTTGCTACTGCCTGTTCTGTGCCCGTATGGAGTACTGTTAGTACCTGAGTTACAAAGATACATGACATTTATAGGTTCACCATCTGAAAGTGCTTGCTTCTGCACTGTCCAGTTTTTTGGTTTACTTCTTGTTCTGCTCTACACCTGCTCAACGTTGATCCATACCTTTCCTCTCTGCTCGGTACATCCTGGGTAGTCAGTGTCTAGTCCACATCCTTCAGCCTACATAAAGACCCAGGATGGAGGATATAACACAATTACTCCTGAATTCCTTAGCAATGTTAACATGTTAGCTTTCGATTGAGAAGCATTCTGTCTTCTGCTACCAGGTGGTCCTGTGCTTCATGGCACCAGAAAACTGGGAAGACCAAAAGACCTGATTCCCTCGCACACTTTTTCAAAAAAACTGATGAACCTTTCCCAAGAAATTTTTCTCCTCGGGTCTGTGGACCCCTTGAAATGTGAACTGCACCAACTTGTATGTAAAATTTTGAGATTGTGTGTACGTTTAAAAAAAAAACACCACAAAACACTCTAAAACTTTTTGCATAAAAACTCCACTAAAATTAATTTTAGAAAGTGTTCTTATTTTTGGTCCAGTACATATTCCATAGGGCTTTTCATCGCATTTCTTTCTGTATAAGCATGTTTTCTTTTCTTTTTTTTTTTTTCCATTTCCTATACTGTTCTTTTTTTTGTATAAGCATGTTTTCTTATGTCACTGGTAAAAACCAATAACTTTCAGAAAGGCAGTTAACCTACTGAGCACTATCCCCACCCCATGTTTTTTGTTTTTGTCTTTGTGTTCCTTCTGTTGTTTGCCAGGAGCATGCACTACTGCTACAAAGGCTACCTGTTCCCTTCCTCATATCTATTTCTTAACTTCTCTCACAGCCCTCCCTTGACTATTCATTTAAAAATAGTAAACCAGTCTCTTTTCCTAACACTATGGTTCCCCTTTCTATTTATTCCCTTGTCTTGTTTCAAAAGCATATTTTTACAGAACTGCAATTTTATGTATTTAAATTTCCCAAACTACTAATCTTAATATTAGTAAAATTAGTGTAAGATTAGTATAATATTCTAGATTATCATAAGCTATGATTTCCTTATGGTTGACCATTTAGTTTGTTTCCACTTCTTCACTATTAAAACCTGAAGTTGCCAATGTACCTTCATGCAGAGAGTCTTTTTCTTCTGGTATGTTGTTATGTCAGATTCACAAGACCAGGATTGTTAATGTGAAGGTATAAAATGTATTAAAGTATGATTGATACATATTCTTGACCTTAGGAATGTGGTAAAACTAAATTGTGAATGCAGCATTTGCAGACTGCTCATTTTGCACTTATTGTGTAGAAAGTTTCGGTCGCGGTTTTCAGTGTGTGCTTTCATTTGTAATCAGCTTTGGCTCTTAGAGGCATCAAGTATCAGCTTCCAAGGTTGACGATTGCATGACAAAGAATTAACCACAAAGATAGTAAAATGTTATGAGAATATTACATAAACTGCCATTTTCAGCTTATGACATTTGCCTATGTCTTTTAACTTTATAAAAGAAATTTTAAAAGGCATTTGCAAGCAAAATAATTGTTTTATTAAAATTCAGAAGTTATAGTACTTTAAGACTTTTTTTCATATTATAAAGAAAAATAGAGAATTGGCTCAAGTGCAATGACACTTAGTTTTCATTCAAACTAACAAAATCACTCTAAAAAAATCCACAGCTTAATTTATGATAAGAACATGTATTTTCCTATTATCAAAAAAACCTGTAATGGGATAATTTTCAGAGTGATACTTCAACATATCTTTCTGTACCCCGTTTAAATGGTACATCAGTACTATCTAATTCATATAAATTACTGGTGTGTGTGCACATGGATGCATAAGAACTAGCTAATTTTAAGAATATTTATAATTTCATTTATCATAGGGCAATATATAGTACTTCTAATCATTTCTTAAGCATGTTTTCTTATGTCACTGGTAAAAACCAATAACTTTCAGAAAGGCAGTTAACCTACTGAGCACTAGTGGCATAAACTAGATTAACCATAGTTCCACCAAAGTATTAACCATTCCAGTCAGCCATTTAATGTTAGGAAGTAGCTTGCTATACTTTTAAAATCAAAGTTCCTCAAATTTTCTTATGAAGGGGAAGTTAGTTGAGCCAGAAAGATAAAAATAAGACTCACTTTTAAAAAAACTAATTTTATATTATCAATAGACTATATTTTTATCAAATTATTTTATCCACAGCAGAAAATACTCATTGAGCCACTGGTGTTAAGTAATTTCAGTTATTATTTCTATGCTCTCTACTTTGCATCTTCTCCCGTTTAAAGAAGAGAACTGAAATCAAGACCTACCATGGGTATAGACTAACAGGAAACAAGCGTACTATTCAGATGCTGTCCTGACTGACGTCCACCTGGAAGAGGCGCCACAGGTAAGCTACAGCGAGACCAGTGCTCTGCCACAGCCAGAAATGGTGTGGATGTAGAACTCGAGTATTTCACTTTGTATTTTAGAGTACTTTGCAGTTAGAGAGCTTTTCCGTAACTATTATGAAATTACTGAAGGAAATTAGGTCCTGTTAGGAAATTTACAACTCACTCATTGCATAAGATGCTTATAATAACTGTTAGGTGTATCCCAGGTGAGAGGCAGAAATGGTATTAACCAAGGAGAATCCAGTGAGGACAGAATTAAAACATAATGTGCACTTGCTAATCCAGTACTTCTTTGATTGGGTAATACTGTACAAATTGGTCTTCAATCAAGAAAAAACCCTAGTTCTTATTTAAGGAGAAATATCTAAGAACCAGTGTTTTGACAAATCAACTTTAAAACTGGTGAAACCCTTTTGGATGTAAGGGAATAGTGAGAACTGACTTAGAGCTCATCAGAGATAAAGCTTTCTTTTCTCTCCCTCACCCCAGAAGGGGGAAAGACTCTCAGGCACCTGATCAGCTTTCAGAGAAGAGGGGACTTCCTGTGGCGGCAGATGAAATGCTGAAGTCATTTTAGTTATAATGTAACAGCGCAAAGATACCAAACACAAATTTAGCAGGTGCACTCTCATTTTTCCAAGCCCTAAAATAAAAGCAAAATCTGGTCTAATCAAAATATCTGCTCTAAATATCTTTAGAAAATATTAGGACTTATTAAAACTAAATTTTCAGAGGAAAAATATTGCCCACTTAATTTTTTTTACAAATAAAACTCATCATAAAAAATCCTTAAATTAATGCATTTATACTTTATGTCTAAATAGTATTTCCTGTTAAGAATTAAAACTACTCTCTCCCTTTTCAGCCCCTCTTTTCTGCATTTCTGCTTTTCTCTTTTACCCAAAGTGTTGATAATATAGTGACTTCTAAGCACTGGGTGTCACTTCAGCACTCACTGCCTAAGAAAGCCTGGTTAATAATGTGTCCAACATTTATTCATGCTGAATTTAAATTTTATCTATTGCTATGATAAACAAATTGAGATTTCACTGAATTAGATGAATTCATTAGGAAAATAAACAGGTAAACACATAAAAATAAAACTTCACATACAGACTAGAAATATTTAGACAGCTGACAAAAACTTAATAGTGCTTTCTATTAAATAACAGTTTTCAATCATTTTATACTGCCAAACTTTTTTTCCCCACGCCTTCTTGCTGAGCTGGAAGGAGCCCCAGGCCCCAATGCCCTGGGTCTGCGCAGGGCCCTTGCTCCCCGGCCTGGAGGTCCAGCTCCATGTGGCTGTTGTTCCCGGCCCTGTCCTGGCCGGTGGCACCAGCACCTCCTTGAGCGCAGCCAGCAACAGGCCGCTGAGCTCCTTGGAGGTGGACATGGCTTTAGTGAAGAGCTGAGACACCCCACAGGCTTCTTGGCCCCCTTCCTCTTCACTGGGGCCTTCTCTGCAGGGGGCACAGGGCGGCGCACACAGGGACGACCTGGCACTTGGGAGCAAGTGATGACATGCCGAAATACAGCTCTACTTTTTAAAAAATGCCTAATTTATTCTTAGATTCAAAAATTATATAATATTAGTTTTAATGATGATTGCTTTTCCTGTAACTTCTTTTATATTTTCTCAATATGACTAAAATCTCAACATAATAGATTTGACATAAAAGTATCACAGACAGGTATTGGCAGTACTTAAGCAAATGTTTTAAAAAGGTTTTGATTCATATGAATTTATATCCAAAATAAAGCTTCTGACATTTCTTTAGGACTTTACTTGATGACTCACTCCTGAGATAAGCAAAAAATATTTGACTAACATTTACATACAAAAATAAATATATACACTACAGTGATCTTGGTATCTTGTACTATTACAGATTTGAGTACCACCAGCCTGATTAAAAAGTTCAGTATGTTTTAAAGTATGAATTTTTTAAAAAGCAGGATTCTTTGTTTTGCCTAATAACTGGGTTTAAAGAATATGGAACAGAAGTATTTCTCTGGAAGAAACTGAGAGTATCTCAATATTTAGTAGACAGTTTAATACTGTCTTATTTTTCCTAAGCATATATCTCTGTATGGTTTACTCTGCCCATTAGATCAATAAATGGAGAGCCACAGGGCTGGAAACAAAGCAGAAATCCTGTATTTTGTCAGATATCTATTTCCTGCCATTAACAAGGATGGCGCCCACAAAACCTTACAAAGGGAAGAAATAGGAGGAGCTCAAACCACAAACAGGATAGCCGGTCACCATCTACCAGCCAGCAGTTAAACCAGCAAATGGTTTCTATATTTAAAAAACAAACAAACAAAGGGAAGGGAAGAGGAAAGTCATTGCTGACAAACCAAAGGAAATAGATGGGGCAGGGAAAGGGGGGAGAAAAATAAAAATAAAAATAAAAATAAAAAACAAACAAACAAAAAACTTGCTTCTTTCCCTTGTTAAGGTGTGCGTGGCTGCAGTGCAGGCTCTTTCAAGTTCTGACTTTCTGCTCAGGTCACATATACTGTTCAAAGATCACTGGCCTTTGAAGTATTAAAAATATAAATGGGATTCAACACTAAAGTTGATCTGAACATAATTTTCTCTCTTTATAGATGTGATGTGAAAAATACCTTTAAAAATCTTGGACTGGGAATCGAAAGATTACTTCTTTTGATGTCAAGGCTGAGAGATCTTGCATAGAGCCTCTTGGTTTTCATTATGAAAATCAACTACCATTACAGAATATTGTAAAAATAATTCTGGTTTTATGGATTTCTGATGCTAACATTATGGTAAATGAAGAGTTTTCTATACTTTCTGGGGCTAATCATAAGTATTTGGCTCTCCAATAAAAACATAATCAAGGTATATACACAAAATATGCTTGGACGTTCACTAGGAGAGTCTGGGGTTTGTCACTCATGTCCTAGTTTTAATTCTCTTATGGTTGAAATCCTGTTATCCCTCAACTGGGTGGAAAAATAGCATGGGGATAAAAGGATCTTGGTTAAACTATTTCTGACTGAATAAGGAATAGAAGCCATTTTATTCTTTAAATATTTAACATTTTAATTTTTTCAATTTTCAAAACTAAATTTTAAAAAATTATTGCTAAAACCAAGAATCTGCCATAGTTTATCATTACTAGTAAATTACAATTTAGTGCCAAAATATTAATACTGTGCCAAAAGAAAACAAAGTTCAGTTCTATTTTTAAGTCTATGGCAATGTTTTCTACTAGTTCTTATTTCAGTCATTTTCAGAATTGAGACAAAAGTAGAAGACGCATAAATCTACATCAGCTATTTCAAACCAGGGGTAAAACATGTTGAATTCAAATTTAGAGAGGGACTTTGTGAAGTACCAGGTATAACTTTGGGAGCAGGATAGATAATTTCTTCAACAGTGACATATGTACCTAACAAGAAACCAACAACTCCAGTAAAGGCTATAGAAATATTTTTCAGAATCATCCATATACTGTAGTGTTCCTTATAAAATGTAAGAATTTCCACCAAAGGTGGCAGGATGAGAGCCAACGTGCTGCTGCTCACGGCTCCAACGAAGGAAATCACAAGGTCTAAACGAGGGATCAGAATGGCTCCAGCACCTAGAAAATGAAAATACAAGTCTTTACTTAAATATTTAATACTTCCATCAATACTAAATACAGGTACATTTCAATACTTAAAGTTAATTAAAGTAGGTATTACTAAACTATTGCTTGTGGAAAAATCTGTCATATTTTATTCTGAGCTAAAAATGAAAACAAACAAAATGGTAAGTGACATTTCTTGGGATCTGACTTGTCAATAGATTTTATTTTATAAAAATCTCTTAATGTTTTGCTGTGAGATTCTGGACAAATAAGTTTGGATAGTTTATTCCCAAAGCATTTTCATTGCTATGCCATTCAGGTCATGGAAGAAGAGGTGGTGTGGTATAAATAAATCATTAAATAAATGAGAGAGAATAGAGAGCTTTTCATTATACCAGAATTTCAATTAACCAAATAGAGGAACAATAGAAATATAAAATAATTATTAGGCAAATACCACAGTAATAATTATTGCAAGGAAAGCCACTGAAGGATGCTAAAATTAGTGGACAAAAACCATATGAGAATGGGTATTTCCATAGTCTCAAAGTATCCCCCTACAAGACACTCCATTATAAAAGGAAAATGGGTTTCCTTCCAGTGGAGAAATCTCTCAGACACCCTTAACCAAGTGATCAAAGTCAACATCACCACTCATAAGACATGTTGAGACCATCATGTGATGCATTATGAAATGCAAAGCATCAACTGAGGAATTCTTGTTAAAAATGCTTTACTTCAACCTAATGAGAAGCGAGCACCATACAAATCTAAACTGAATGAAATTCTACAAAACTACTGATACTTCAGGAGTGCCAAGGTGAAGACAGACAAAGAAAAAGACTGCCAAGACTAGAGGAAGCTAAGTAGACATGACAACTAAATCAAGTGGGATGTTGCACCAGTTCCTAGATCAGAAAAGGGTATTAGTAAGAAAACTGGCAAAATAAGAATAAGGTCTGTAGATTCATTAGTAGTGTTGTATCAATGATAATGTCCTGGTTTTAATAACTGTAGGAGGTGGGTCCAAGATAGCAGTGAAAGAGGCCAGGTAGCTTGCCCTCTCCCATGAACGACTTCTGTAAAACAAAGGAGAAAGAGAGAGAGTGAGCGAGCACACAGAGAAGATTAAGGAAATGCGGGAGCCCACCAGAAACCTGAGGGAACCTGTCAGCAATGGAGCAGCTGGTGAGCACCGTTGTTTACAAGCCCCCCACACTTGAGATAGCCCATTGAGAACTCTTCCAGGAGTTTTGCCTGACCAGCAAACTGCAGTAGCACAACCCCAGCTGCCCCTTCTAGAGCCAGCTCCAGCAGGAAACAAGAGGGAGCCACTATAGAAAGTGCACAGGGCACCCCCCACACCTGAAGCTATAATGAGCCAGCCCAACAGGATGCTGAGGCTCCCCTTCACCAGGCCACTGCTGCATGTACCCCTGGGATGTCCCACTGGGAGCAAAACCAGAAACACTAGAGAGCCCTGGCTCATGGATGCAGGGCAGCCCTGCCTACTGTGAGAAGGAACTGGGTTTTGTGGTGGTCATGCCTAAAGGGTGACCTTGCTCTGGCCAGGCTCTCACAGCAGTCAATCACAACAACAGGGTGAGCCTCGCGCGCACAGCAGAAAGTCTCTGCCCAACCTCCAATAAGAGGGAGAAGGCTGCCGCACCTCAGGCTTACACGAGGGCTCCCAGCTCAGACCAGCAGCAGTCCAGCAAAACAATAGGGCTTACTGCAGGCCCCCACACCAGGCTGTTCCACCTGGATCAAGAGCAGGATCAGCAGAGTTCTACAGTCCAACTAACGGGGCTGCCCCACCGGGCACAGCAGGAAAGCCCGCACACACCAGGCTACACCACCGAGAATCTGTAGCTTCTAGCCAAGTAACATTTCCGGAACCCCCACACCCCTAACCTCCCACTCCGCTGGAACCAACCTGCCCAAATCAACCACTCCAGAGTCCACCAGGGGTGTCCAACCTTTAGGTGTATCTGGGCTGCACTGGAAGAAGAGCTGTCTTGGGCTACACATTAAATACGCAAACACTAACAAAAACTGATAAGCAAAAAAAAGCTTTTAAGTAAATTTTTTATTTTGTGTTGGGACGCATTCATAGCCATCCTGGGCCATGTGCGGCCCATGGGCCATCCATTGGATACCCCCGGCAGAAGCCACTTTTACACAGACCATTTTTCCAAGATTGGGAGAAAGAGCTATCTCATCTAACTCATAGGACCAAACATAAAGTAAAACAAAATGAGGAGATAGAAGAATATGCCCCAAATGAATAAATAAGAAAAAACCCTGAAAAATTACTATAACAGAGATAAGTAATTTGCCAGATAAAGAATTTAAAGAAAGTCAAAGGATGCACAACGAACTTGTAAGTAGAATAGAGGAACTCAGAGTGAACTTCAATAAAGAGTTAGAAAATATAATTTAAAAAAAAGCCAATCAGAGATGAAGAATACAAAAACTTAAAAGAAAAAAAACACATTAGAAGTAATTGACAAGTTAACACAGAACATATTAGCAATCTGAAAATCAGAGTAGTGGAAAGCACCCAATCAAAACAGAAAAATAAAAAACAGGAATACTTGGGATCTCTGACACAACATCAAGGAAACTAACATTTGCATTAAAGGGATTCCAGAAAGAGGAAAGAAAAAGAGGCAAGTATATTTGAAGAACTGATGACTGAAAACTTTCCTAATCTGGGAAAGAAACAAATATCAAGGCCCAGGAAGCACAGATAGTCCCAAACAAGATGAACCCAAAGATACACACACCAAAACATATTGTAATTAAAATGGCAAAACTTAAGGATAAAGAGACAATCCTGAAGGCAGCAAGAAGGAAACGAGAAGTCACATACAAGGGAAACCCCATAAGACTATGGGCTGATTTCTCAGTGACAATGTTACAGGCCAGAAGAGAGTGACAGGATATAGTTAAATGGCTGATAAAAAGGAACCTACAATCTAAAATACTATACCCTGCAAGGTTATCATTCAGAGTCCAAGGAGAGAGGAAGAGCTTCCCAGACAAACAAAAAGTAAAGGAGTTCAACACCACTAAACTGGCTTTACAAGAAATGTGAAGGGGTCTTCTCTACACAGAAAAGAAGATAACCTGAAAGAAGAAAATACAGGAAAGAAAAAATATCACTGGTAAAGGTAAATATATAATAAACACATTGAATCCATCACTTAAAAAGCTAAAAGGTTAAAAGACAAAACTAGAAAAATTAACTACAACTACAGTAAATAAGGAATACACAAAACAAAAAGATATAAAACATGACATTAATAACAAAGTATGGAGGGGGAGTAAAAATGTACTGCTTTTAGAATGCATTTGAACTTACATGTGATCTTAAATAGACTGAATGTGCTATATGTATGTGTGCTATAGATATAGACAAATATATGGTAACCACACACCAAAAGCCTACAAAAAACAAAAAACAAAAATAAAGAGAAAGAAATTCAAACAAAACACTAAAGAAAGCAAGTATTACCAAAAGGAAAGAGATCAAGAGAAGAAGAAAGGAACAAAAAACAATAAATACAACCAAAAACAATGAACAAAATGGCAATAAGCAAATGTCTAACAATAATTACTTTAAATGTAAATATACTCAATGTTCCCATCAAAAGACACGGCAACATGGCAGAATGGATTAAAAAAAAAAGAAAGATCCATCTATATGCTACATATAAGAGATTCGTTTTACATGAAAAGACACACAATGACTGAAAGTGAAGGGATAAAAAAGATGTTCTATGCAAACAGAAATGAAAGAAAGCTGGGGTAGCAATACTCGTATCAGAAAAAATAGACTTTGAAACAAAGAATTTAAAAAGAGAGAAAGAATGATATTACATAATGATAAAGGGGTCTATCAAAGAAGAGGATATAACAATTGTAAATATTTACATATACAACAAAGGAGCACCCAAGTATATAAAACAAATATTAACGAACATAAAGCCAGAAATTAACAGTAATACAGTAACAGTTGGGGATTTTAGTATACCATTTACCTTAATGGACAGACCATCCAGACACAAAATTAGTAAGGAAATAATGGCCTTAACTGTCACATTAGACTAGAGCAACTTAATAAACATTTTTACATTTTATCCCCAAACTGCAGAATACACATTTTTCTCCAGTGCACATAAAATGTTTTCCAGGATAAACCATATATTAGGCCACAATACAAGCTTCAATAAATCCAAGAAGACTAAAAGCATATCAAGCATCTTTTCTGACCAAAACGGTGTAAAGTTAGAAATCAAATAAAGAAAACTGGATAAAATACAAATACAGGGAGATTAAATAACATGCTAATAAATAATCAGTGGATCAAGGAGAAAGTCAAACAGGAAATCAAAAACTACTGGAGACAAAATGAAGACACAGCTTTTTAAAATTTATAGCAAATGCAGTTTTAAAAGGGAAGTTCACAGCTACAAAGTCCTACATCAAGAAACAGGAAAATTCCCAAATAATCAGTGTACCTTCACATTTAAAGGAACTAGAAAGAGAAAACGAAGAAAACCCAAAGTAAACAAAAGGAAGAAAATAACATAGGTCAGAGTGGAAATAAATGAAACACAGACCAAAGATAGGAAAGACCAATGAAACTCAGAGCTACTTCTTTGAAAGGGTAAATAAAATTGACAAATCTCTAGCCAGAATCATCAAGAAAAAGAGAGTCCAAATAAAATCAGAAATGAAAGAGAAGAGAATGCCAACAGACAATACAGAAATACAAAGGATGATTAAAGAATTCTATGAACAATTACATGTGAACAAATTGTACCATCTAGAAAAAATAAATTTCTAGAAACATACAAACTTCTAAGACTACACCAGGAAGAAACAAAATATGAACACACCAACTACTAGCAATGAAACTGAAGTGGTAATTTAAAAAAACCTCCCAACAAACAAAAGCCCAGAGCCAGACAGCCTCATAGGTGAATTCTACCAAACATTTAGAG